AATATTTATTTTTCTTTAAAATGAGATGGGTAGGAGAGAGAAATCAGAAGTCTGGTGTGTTAGAAATATTTATTTTTCTTTAAAATGAGATGGGTAGGAGAGAGAAATCAGAAGTCTGGTGTGTTAGAAACTGATGGGCTAGAATCACCAAAGATGATTCTCGATTAAGCATAAAAATTTTAATAATCAGTCCTCCATTTCTACTATCAACTATAGTGCTCTGCAATAGGAATTTTTGTTGAAATAACATTTCATTCATTAATACCTTGTCGGATTCTGCCACGTCTCTCAGCTGACGCCTGCCCCGCTTTGCGTTCCCCCGATGTAAGGGTCTCTTGTCCCAGGCTGCCTCGCTGCCAAGTTCGTGGTTCGTAATCTCATTCGTCTCTCCGGGGCCTCACGGGTCTTTAGCCATCTTCCTTACGGTCCAGCAATGAGAATTAGAGGAGATGCCACTGTCTCTCTTTTGCCCGGTTATCCCCCACTGTGTCATTGCTCCCAGTTTCTTCCCTCTCTCTGATGACCTAAGGGGAAAGCTTACAAGTTTGGAGATTTCCCACCTGGATAAACAAACAAAACAAAAAGTATTCCCTTTTTGCTGGCTCTCGTAAACATCATCAGCCAATTTATCTGCACCTCTCTACCTCTCCACTGGGAGGTCGAAATGACACTTTCATCATAGAAAATCTTTCTCTTCCATCACAGCCATTTCTCTGACCTCCCAGTCGTTTTCTCGTGTTGAAGCGGGTGTTAGACGTGGTGCCTCACATTTTCAGCCACGGAAATAGCGAGGGTGGAAAAGGAAAAGCAAAGGTAGGAAGATGCGGAGCAAGGCTGCCTGGAGAGGAACATCGAGTCACAGCACCAAGATGTCAGGATTTAGTGAAATGTCGGTTCTTGGTGCCCTCATGGATGAAGAATGACCAAATGCACCGAAGTTAGGCAAGCACAAAAATGCGGTTTATGGAGGAGAGAAAGATCGGCTTATAGGGCAAGAGCAAGATGCGGGTTTACAACTATGATACATACCCACAGATGACGACCAGACCCGTTGTTGCAGCAAAGGGAGAGCAAATGAACGGGCCCAGAAAAGGGGCCTGGTTATGGTCTGCGTCTTGTGTTATAGTACTGGGATTGGGACTTCCCTTGTGGTTCAGAGGTCACCATGGAACCGCTTTGATTGGACAGTTGGGAGTTGCATGACCCGAGTCTTGCACATGCAGATCTCCCATGAGCCTCTCTGAAAGCCCATTTGGTGGGGGCGGAGGGAGGTGAATGGCAGCAACACCCACGTCTGTCCCTAGGAGACCCGGAATCCCTCGCTATCTACCTAACACACAGGTTGAGGGGTGATCCTCACCTTTGGGGAGGTAGTTGGTAGTGGCAGATCTTTAAAGTGCTTTCGAATTAGAATGCGAAGATTTAAGCGCTTTTTTCCTCCTAGGTATAATTCTGGAATAAGAAAAATCTCCCTCTTCAACATAAACCTCCCTTTTCCCTTGCATTATTGTATATTTTGACCTGAAATGCTAATCTGTTTGTTTCTACCGTCAATTTAAGTGGACAGGACCTTGAAAGATGACAGAGACATATTTAGCAAGAGTGTATATTCCAAACATTACG